TGTGTGCAGTTTTTAAAATTTTGATTTGAAGGTAATTATATATATATATATATATATATATATATATCCTTTAATAACAAATTGATCATATAAAAATATTAAAATACCTTAAAAATCAAAGTATTTGAATTTTTTTGAGAATGATAAAATTATCATTGAATAGTAAAATGTGTATTATGGGCATGGTGAATGTGGCTTATATTTTAGTTGTTTTTTGTTCAATGGACTTTATAATCAAGAAAATAATATTGACAATTTATTTTTTATTATATTAAGAACTTATTTGTACTCATTTTTTTTTAAGAAAAAACAAACCTACCTGTTAGAGCTTTATTTATATTCTTAATTAAAAAAGTAGGGATTAAAAAAATATTTATGCTAGTTTTTTTTAATTAATAGTTTTACTTTGATGTACTTTCTTTCTAGTATGCATTTTTTTTGGAAAATGATTTTTAGGAAATTACTTTTTAAACTTTTCAATGTCTGTTTATTATTAAAAAAATTAGTTAGCAAAAAACACTATTCGGTCAATGAAAAACAGTTTCATGTAAAAAAAATTAGTTTGATTTTCAGAAAAGTATTTTGTTTTTATTTTGAGCGGAAAATACTTTCTAGAAATAATAAAAATTTTAAAAATATCATATTATTTGCTGATTATGTTAAATTTGGTTCTCAAACTTTTGATTGCTATATATTTTATTTGAATCTTTTTTTTTCTTTCAAATTCATCCCTTAAAATTTAATTTAATTTGATTTTTATATTAACTTTTGTTTTTATTTTTATGATTGCTATTTACTTTTCTCTTATCATGCTTTAAATTGAATTTTTTTATTTATTAAATTTGATCCTTATTCTTTTGATTGTTACTTATTTTATTTAAAATAACTTATGAAATTGTAATTATTATTATTTTAATTTTATTATCTTTTTTTTTAATATGTTAGATTTGATTTCTATTATTTTGATTATTATTTATTTTATTTGAGAAATTTATGAAATTAGATTTTTTTTTCATTTTCATTCTAATTCAACTTTTTAATTTGTAAGATTTATTTCTTATTATTTTAATAAACTTAAAAAAAATTAATAAGTTATTTTTCAACTTATTTTCTATAATATAACCAAACATTAAAATATATTTTCCAACTTGTTTTACAAAGAAACTTATCCTTGAAAATTGCATGCGATTTTTTTGATATCAAGAAACTAATTTTTGTAGGTTATTTTTGCAATGACATTGAGCCTTGCGAGAGGGGGTGTTAAAATTCAAGGAATGGTTGTTTTTATAGTTGGATTTGTTTTTTAAAATAATTTTTAAAATAATTTTTGTTTATAAAAAATATTAAATTAATATTTTTTACAATTTTTTTAATTATTCTAATATATTATTATTAAAAATCAATACAAAAAATTAATTTCTACATATTTTAAATTAAAAATTATTTTTTAAAAACACATTTCATTATATTACCAAACAGGTACACAATCAAATAGCAATAGCAATAACAAGTGCAATTGTATTGTAGCATTTGAGGTCTTAGCCCAGTGATAAGAGAAATTTGTTCCTTTTCTCTGCATCCGGGATTCGAACTTTACTGTGTATATCTGTCATCCCCGTGGTGTCTTACATATTTACTAGGTTTATATGATGTTTAGTGGATCATGAGATTAATCATGCCATGTATAAGCTGTTCCAAACACTCATATAATTTTTTATTTTTTTTAAGTGCAATTGTAGCAACCGAATGGACGTCATAAAGTGATAAGATTGCCTTCATGGAAGGTGGATTTCATTTAAACATTTGTTTTCCGTGGGCCGCCCCACTTTATCCGTCCTTCTATTTCCGACCTCAAAGGTAAGCTAAAACGACGAAGTAACAGCCACAAAAAAATTTTTAGCTTTAAATGAAACTAAACAAGGGTCAGTGAAATCCAGGATGCTGGGATCAGTACTGATTTTCCCAGGCAACGAGCAAGCACGACACGTGTTGAGGGAAAGAGATTGTGCAGTATGGATTAGGTTAGTGGGCTCTCGGAAACAGACAGAGTATATGGTGGGCAACGTTTGTAACGGGCCATAAGATGATAATGAGAGGTCAACATCCAACAATATGGCAAAGAAAAACATCAACATGTGGTGACGATGATGATGTTGAGGTCGGGATGGCTACACACACACACACACACACACACAATTAATTCTTCATCGGATAACTGTGCGTCGCAGGTTGATGATGTAGGACCGGCCGACCTGAATCTTCATCGGATTTCAAATAGACAAAACATAGGTTTGTAATTGGCTAGTCAAACTCGGATAATTTGAATGATCTGGCTTGATGACACTTGATATTTTATTTATTTATTTTAGTAAACTGAAAAATATAAAATTAATTTACAAATAGTTAGACTTGTATATTTTTTCATAATTTAAATACATTTTAATTTTTCAATATGAAATAATTATATATATAGTCTCCATTTAAATTAATTATATTTTAATTTTTTAGAATAAAATCGTTATATTTATAGTCTATATTTACATATAATTTTTTGAAATACAAAAAATATATTTTTTAAATTAACTCAAATCAAGTCGTATAACTTGAGATCCGGTATCTTCTTGCCGGTTTCAGCAGCTATGTTTCAAACATCCAGGGTCTCCTTCCTAGTACTGACACCTGATCTTGACGCCATGTTCTCCATAATTCTTTGAAGTAAATATGAAATCCATTATACAGCTGACCAACTTTTCGCTGCAGGGGTTTTGGTGAAAGAACAAGTATCGATTTGGCAGTGTCATGCTTGCCCGGGATTTTTTTTTGGTAATGTACTATAATAGTAATATTTTATTAATTATTTTTTAAAATTTATTAAAAATAAAATTTATAATTTATCAAAAATAAAATCTCTTTCTTTTCTCATCGTATCTTTATATATATATATATATATATTCTCATGGTATCTTTATATATATATATTTTTTAAATAGACTTTATGGAATAACTAATAATAAAATGTTAATAGCTACTGAATATCATATAATTACTCTAGACTGGCATATATTTATGGTGTTTTTTCATAAAATTTGTCGGCTGTTTTTCAATTAAATGGAAGAAATAAAATATACAATGTACGTAACTCAATTGCCTTGTCAGTTATTATTGATGAAATTATAAGTATTACTAGCATATTCACGTGCATCTAGCTGCAGGTTAGATCATTTCTTTGTTTCTAAATTTTTAAAAATATTAATAGCATGCAATTTGTTTTTGGTAATATTATTAAATATAATTAAGATATTCAGTTTTGAAACTTGTTAACTCAACTCCTTATCTAACTGAGTTATAAATTAAAAAATATGAGAAATAATTCAAAATAAGTTATTCAATTTAATACGTTAAAAGACAATTTGGATGACCAATAATAATATGATATAGTTTTTTTAAAAAAATAAAATAACATATTTTTTTTAATATTAAGACAATACTAAATTAAATTGACCTTGGTTGCCCTGTGACCTACGTTATGGATTTTAATAAGTTTAATAATTTTTATTATTTTTATAAATTATTTTTATTTAATTTTATGATTACAATAGATGCTTTCAAAATCAAGTATTAACCTTAAAAATAATATTTATTTAAAATCATGATAACCCTATAAAAAGTAGAAAAAAATAAATCATGAATTCCATTTCTTAACAAATTCAATATTGAATAAGAGTGAAATAAAAAAATAAAAAAATTAGAAGACCATAAACTAAAAAAAATAATCAAATTTGATGGTAAACTCATTAAACTCATGAACTAGATAACCCAAATTAACACCTCAAACCCGCAAACTAGATAATGAACTCCATTGAGATTAATAATTTTTTAAAAAACTATTGTTTATTTAACTATATAATAACAAAAATAAACAATCACAAAATCAAGTATCAAACCAATACTAAAACCTCTTTTTTTTTTAAGATTATAATAAACTTATAAAAAAGTAAAATAAAACAACTTATGAAACTCAATTTTCAATCAGTACAATATCAAAGAATTAAATTAAAAAAATAAAATTATATATATATATAAAAAGTTGAACTCACCATACCTGTTAACATACCCATAAACTTTCTAAAATTTAACATGTTTTTTTTTCAAAACTATTTTTTTAATTGATAAAAAAATAAACAATTACATAATCATGTTTAATTGCAATTTTTTTTTATTAAACCCGCAAATCGAAGCAACTAGAATTAATTGCCACACTTGCAAACTAAAATCAAAGCAACTAGAATTAATATTCTAATTGCCACACTCACAAACTAGATCATTAACTCCATAAATTTGTTAACCTATTTTTTAAATTATTTTTTATTTAATAAAACTTTTTTAAAAATTAATCATACCATAATACTGAGATATTTTTCTGATATTAACCTAATACTAAAATATTTTTTTAATAATGCAATCATTATATAAAAAAAAATTAAAAAAAATTATTAACTCTAAACCTAATAAACATGTTATATAATAAACATATTATATAAAGACTAAATTAGAAAAAAATTCAATAATCAAAAGAAAAAAATAATCAAAATACCAAAAAGGAAAAAAACCACCATAAAGTACTATTATAAACCATAATGTTAATAGATGAGAAAAAACAGTATTTTCTAAAAGTTATAATTATAATATAATAGTAATATTATTTATATTATAGTTTGTCACTTGTCAAGAAAAATAATCTCAAAAAAGAAAACGGAAAAAGATTCTATAGAATTGAAAATCGCAGCCCCACCGGGGTATATTAGGGAAACCATATAACGGGAAACCCTTTCGGACATTGCTGGGTCAACGGGTGCGCCATTATTGTGAGCAAGTGGTCTGAAGATCATGCAATATTTCACACTCGACCATCTGCGCCAGCACACCTTGGTTGTGCACTGCAGGAGGCTCGCGAAGTCGCGAAATCTGGAGCCAGCAGATCTTCGAACCTAATTTTGAATAATACTTAATTCTTAAAAGATTTCAATCTACCATAGGAATGGCGAGTGTAGAGTTGACTAGCAAGTTACAAGTTAGATGGCCTGCTGCATGTGCAATCCACGTCTGCAGTTTTTTTTTTTTTTAATTTTTATTTCCCCTCATAACTTAGAGCACTCCGAATGTGACTACTCCAATGAGAATGAGGACCATAACATATGCCAGCTAAAAATCCTCCATAGAGTAAGCAATGAACACCAAGCTGAAAACTATTTGTTCTCCATTGCTCGGAGTTCCCCAGAGCCTCAATTCCAGAAACACTTTGGTTGGTCCAACAATTGAAATCCACATCATTATGGGTATCAAAATCCCATATGTCTACGGATTTCCCAAGCCAACTGAAATCCGTGGGATCTTTAAACATTTTCAAGTAGCGGTTGCCTTGAATCAGAAAACCCCAAACTTCTCGCAACAAACTACCAATGCAATCAAGAAACCTGCTCGATACGCTGTCAAAACCTGCCTTTCGGATTTGATCTTGACCAAATGATAAATTTACTTCAAAGCTTTCAAGCAATGAGCACTTGGAGCATTTGTGCTTAGCTAGAGGAGAAAGATTCAAGACAGGAAACCCACATTTTCCAAGAGAATCCCATGCTGAGCTTTTAGCAAGAGATAATAAGGACTCCCCTGCACTTGTCCAGAAATTTGCAACAGATACAAGCAATGAAGATTCAAAACAAAACAGATGGCGAGTTGCAGTTGCAAGCAACAATGAGTATGCTGCACTGTTTCTGGACATGCTCAAAGCTTCCCATGAAAGTCCACCCACCTCAGAATGCAGAGAAAATAAGTCACTTGCTCGTATTTTATAAGCAGAAGCCAGAATGGTATATGTGTTCAGAGCAAGATGGTGCAGGGGATGCAACCTGAAGTTCAACTGTGATTTTCCTTCTCTGACCTCTAACTGCTCATCAAGGAGGCCATTGATCAGCATGTTCTCAAGCTTCTTGCAGCAAGATTCAGGATCACCAACAGCAAGATACTCGGCTGTAACTTCATCTACATAATCTGTCAGCTTTCTAGTTGCTTCATCCCTATAAAAGCTGAGTTCAGAACTTATGCTCGAAGAGGCCAGATTTGATGTGGAAATTTCCTAGATGTGAGAATTCAGGGTTAATGCATGTTCAAAGCAATATGTAGAATCAGTCATCCACCAATTTCTCGAACAAAGAAAAATATGTTCACCCTCCCAATCTTATGATTTGAGCTTTCAGAGAGGTTAGGACAGAATTCAATTTCAAAAGTTACCTCACAGTTCATGGCGAGAAAGAAGCCTTTTTGTTTACAATTTTTTTTTGCAAAACCTAATAAAAAAGAACAAAATTGACATTTTCCAATCTCGGTGGCAAGAGATGGAAGTAGAATATAATTTCCTAATAGACAGAAAAACCAAAATGACTTGTGACCCAAAGGATATTTGCCTTTTTGTTCACAGAAAGAGTGACAAAGGGTTGCTCGTCAATCATTTAATTTCCATTCGCCACCATTGGCCTTTGATGTGGCATGGCTATTGCCAAATGCCAACTTCGATGGAGAATCATAGTGGTAGATCATAGCTTTGCCTGTCTTATTTCTTAAACCACTTGTCCTAAAAAATCTCTCATAAATGCAATGCGATCCTGACATGAAATAAAGAGTCATAGTTCTTATAAATGTTCTCATTTGGAAAAACTTTTCATTGAAATAACACGACCTTAATTGTCAACATCTTTCACGCATTAATATTGATCATAATTGCCAACCCAGTTTCAGTAACGATTTGATCATGAATCAGACAGTCATCGCACAACAATGCACATAATATTGTGAAAATATATAATAACATTACCTGCAGAACATGATCTACATAAGAAGGGGGTGATGCAATGCATCGTGTACAGCAACAAATAAAACGATACTTGGCCCACAATTCTGACCGCCTTATTTCCTAGGAATAGCATCGGTGAACATAATGTAAATATTTCAAACAAAAAAGTTGGATTCTGTAATGCAGAATTTGATCGAGTGCAAAAAAAATTCATTTGGAATCGTTTCATGTATTGGAACCTTTACGACAAGAAAAAGAACAGCACAGGAAGTGTAAAGAGATTTTACTACCTTAGGCTGCAACAAGTCTGTGTAAGCCACAGTCACCTCCTCACCTCTCTTAATCCTCTTAATACTCCTCACAATCACTCTTGGTCCACTTCCACTACATCCTGCCAAACAACAGATTTAAAATCTAAACGAGCCAGATCATAATAAAAAAGAATCCTCCATAAAGAACAACCACCGCCACCAATATGCAGTATAACCTTTTGGGAATTCAATGTTGTGCACACCATTATCACTCTGCAACGCAGAAATAGAGTAAATTATAGAAAAAACAGATAAATAAAAAAGAATGCAACCAATATTTCAGTTTTATGGACTTCTTTTCAAGATGGAAATCACTGTGACTTTACTTTGGTGCCAGCTGGAAGAATTCGTAACCTCGACTCATCGCTGAACGGCAACACATTATCAGGAGGAGAAATAATAAATCGATAACAAGCATTGGGAGAACAACTGTGATTAATCCACGAGAAATTGGGGCCATAAACAGCAATCCCGATGGAGCGCCCTTCGTTATCGTGTACCTCAACGGCGTTCGTTAGCACCAAGCACAACGCAGCCTCCAACAAAACAGCGTCATTTTTTTCGTTTTCAACCATCTCAATCCTTCTCGCAGCTGCTATGGCCTTCGCTCCATATCTTACGTGAGCTGAAATCTCTTCGTCGGCCATCAATTTCTCTCGGTTCGTCAATAAGCCACAAATTCTGTTGGTGGAGGAGGAGGGAAGAAAGTGGGGGAGGAGGCGAAGGGCAGCGCGGAGGTCGGAGGAGGGGGGACAGTGCAGGAGGTGGAGCTCGGCGGGGGAGAAGTGGGAAGAGGAGCAGATAGAGGAACAGTAGAGTAGCGTGGGGGCATGGTGATGCTGGGTAAAATTTTCAGTAGGGAGACGAGAGAAGCAAGAGGAGCAGTGAGAGTGAAGGAAAGAATCGTGAAGTGCGTAAGAGAGAGGGATCTCCGATGGGGTCATGTCTTCGCCAATTTCTATGTCCTCTTCACTGGCTCTCATCTCCATCCTGATTCTTGAATCTCGAGCGAGCGTGGAACTGGCAGGGGAACCTCTCTAACGGCTCACGGGCTCTTTCAAGAAATATTGAAGTGGAACGAAACATTCAGGACTTCAGTTTTGTATGGTCCGGTTCAAATTTGGGCCCGACTTCTAGGTCCAAGCTTCTGCCACCCTGCGTCCATACGAGGAAGGAGCCTTCTAAAAGATTGTTTGGCTTCCTATCTCGCAGAAAAGTGGTGTTTGTAATTTTGTGGGCAATTGGTATGCTGAGTTCAGGTGGACAGAGACTGCTAACCTGCAAAAGAAAAGTTTCATAAATGCGTCCTGGAAGCATTTCATGGGAATTGGAAAGACATGATTAACGAGGTCTGATGGTCCGGTTTTCTCCGGAGGTTTGATGATTCATCTCATGGATAGCCAAACATGTTCCAACTAAAAACCCGTGAACATCGTCGATGGTATGGCATCATCCTGCATGTAATTGTCCAATAATACTTCCTGGTCAGAAGGTCTCAAATGTCAAAGCTAGGGCCTAAAATAAGATCGATATTTTGTTCGATGGAATTCATCCGTTTACAGCTTGGTAATCGTTTTTATCATAATCAGAGAACAGATTCTCTCATCAAAACTACATAACAGATACAAATCATTAGCAGAACAATTTTACTTGATCAACATATTCAGGAACAATTTCAGTCACTTTCTTGGTACACAGACATGGAGATAAATTGAAAAGAAAAGATGGTTGGTGATGGGAAGGGCAGGGTGATCTAGCCGTAAAGAATCCAAATATAATGGCTTCTCATTGTATTGATCTTTGAACCGGGAGCTGAATAACATAAGAGAGAGAGGGTGAGAGATTTATTCGCCTGGAGTTTCATAATACAATATGGAAAGAAGATAAACAGGGATACAAACAAGCTGGCGGCTGCTATTGCTTGACATTCAGTGAACTTTCAATGCGTTGGATGAGCTGATCTTTAGTCAAAGCACCCTCCTGCAAATGATAGAACCAAGATCGCTAAAACACTCAAATGGGCAAATAGATGACCATAAGTGGCTATAGAACAAGAAGCAATAGAACTAGAGAAACTTGAAAACAATGTAGCATCATAAAGTTCCCTCTTCTCTAATGGATGCAGACCTTGTGGTCAAACATGCAGATCTTTATCATCTCTTTATTTTTGTTGGGTAGTTAATCAGAAAGGATCAACCTAAACATCGCAATTGACTTAATAATTTACAATCAAGTTATCAAACACATGCGTGTTCCCAGGCACAAAACAGTTATGTGCCTGATTTGATAGCCTCATAAACAAGATTTATGCTTTTCAGTAGCCTACATGCAGACAAGATTGTTTTCCAAAATCTAGTACAAACTCGAAAATTAGAAAACTTACACTGCAGTTTCCTAATTTTTTTTTGAACAAAAACAACAAATTTGAACAAAAATCCATTTTCTCTAGTTCAAAAAAATCTATCTGTCCCCTCTAACAAATATTTAGAAAATGGCCTTAATTCCACAACTGAATAGGTCTCAGGACGTATGGCTATTTTCACTTGAGAGCAAAGAGAAATTAAATCAACTTACAAAACGATCATATGGCTCTGCATCCTTGAATATGATAAAAGTCGGCAAGGCCTCTATTTTGTATTTATCAGCAATGCTGGGATATTTCTCAGTGTCGATTTTCACTACCTGAACCGTGTTTTTCAGGACAGCACCAACTTCATCGAGAATTGGAGCCATAAATTGGCAAGGACCACACCTGTACACCACAGGTTAGTTTACTTCTATTCAATTGAGATTCTAAATCAATCCAAAATGCTAACATCAGCAAATCTTAAAGATCCTTGTCCGTCACCGAGCTACTCAATAGCCAAGTTCATAACCTTGCCAATCAAAAGGTTTAGCGCGCACACACACACACAATCTGCATAGTATTAAAGGAAGAGTACAAACAGAAATCTTAAAGAAAAGATAGAAAGGAAATCACCAGGTTGCATAAAAGTCCACCAACACGGGCTTGTCAGAATTCTGTAGCAACTCATCAAAGGTGGAAAAAGTTTGCTTCTTCGCTGCAACCTGTGATAATCATTTGAAAAAAGAAAAAAAGCAATCAATGCATATGGAATAAATAGCATTTTGAACTTGATAGCTCAGACACACAACAAAACTAATAAGTAAAGCCTATAAATATTGACAACAATACAATCAAAGTCAGATTGATTGTTCTTGTTCATTGCTTACATTTATAACAGACAAAACCAGACAGATATTGGGAAAAACCAAAGAAGGAGAAAGAATTGAATCCCATGGTTGTCAATGACGCCTAAAGCCTTTGAGTAATGGCTCGCATCTGAGTAATGCTCACGTCCATTACCTCCATAATGAACTGCATCATATATCTTACAAGTTTCTCTCAAACATCCAAGTTCTAAAATCTTGCATATGAGCTACACTACATAGATATAGAATAACCCAGGATGTGTTTGACTCAAAACGATCCACGTCAATCTATGTTTGAAGAATTATGGTTAAAGGTCAATGGGAATGACAGTTAAAAACCATTGGCGTTAAGAACCAGAACAAATATAGTTAGCATCATTGTTACAATCATCAGGCGATAACTACCATTAGATAATTTCATAAAGTTGACTACCAAAACTATCAGTAACAATAGAAACTAAGAACAAAGATGTCAAATGTAGATAAAGAGTCCTCAATGTCAATCTTTCATTGAATTAGTTCCACATAAAAAGCAACCAAAAGAGTACAATTTTATTGCAATATTTTAGAAAACAATGTCTTAGTGTATTGAGTGGTAGTTACCCAAATCCCAAACATAACAACTACAAATTCCAACGAACATAAATAAATAAAAACAGCAATCATTTAATTCCAGTCCCAGAAAAACCTTTAAATCTCATCAATTTCAACAAAATAAATATAGAGAAATGAGTTACCAGGGGAAAATTTCGCTGCCTGGGGTGGGAGGAAACCCCTCTGTTTCGAAATTGAAGTCGATGAAGCTGTGCTGGAAACTGGAGAGAAGAAAACGAAGATAATTTGGAAGAGTAATTAGAAGTGGAGTTGCGAGTATTCAATGAAGGAATTGTTGACGCTGAAAGAGAAGAAATCGCCATTTTCTTTCTGGATAGATATTTCTTCAACGGCAGGGAGAGAATCCACAAGAACAGAAA